CCATACGATTCGAATCGCGTTGACACCTCCCTCCATCCAGCCCCAGCCAGCCCAGTCAGTTACAGCAGACCAAGCACAACATAAATTAGCCCTCGACATTCATTTGTCATTCCATCAACAATTCTTCCCTTGCGACTTACATTCGTAACTTGTGATCATTTGTCCCACACCGTCCGCTCCCAGCTATCTTGGTCCGCAAAACCGTTAGCTTGGCATTCCAAACCTAAACATGGGGGCTAGAAGCGCTGTCACGTTGGTCGTTGCGGGTATCGGCGTAGCGCTTGCCATCTTGTCGTGCTGCTACATGGCCGACAATTACCTCGTCATCTCGCACCCTACCCTCTGCACAGGCGTGTCGAATGCCACTCTCTGCTCTCAGGAGTTCCGCGCAGCTCGCCGGCAACTCAGTGTCCTCCCACAGGCCGCGGATGCAGTGACGGCGGCCATGGTTTCCGCCGTGGCGGAGCAGGTCTCCGCGATCATTGATGCCGCCACGGAGATCAAGCGCGCCAATGTCCGCAAGAACCATTTCATCAATGTCGTGGCGGACGACTGCAGCACGCAGGGCGGCATCGCGCTGCGCTACCTGGGCCGCACGCTGGACGCGATAGACACGGACAGCGCGCAGCACGATCGCGCCTTCTGGCTGTCCGCCGCCAGCACGCAAGTGGGCAACTGCGTCGACGGGTTCAAGACGCTCGCGCCCTCCGCGACATTCCAGCCCGCATTCGTGCATCTCGAGGTAAGCCCCTCCCCCTCTCGCCCAACCAAAACCCCCACTCCCCCCTTCCTGCCCCCACTTCTTCGTATCTCTGAGAGCTCTTAAGAGCGAAGGCGCCAAGACTGCTCATTGCTACAAAGTGTTTCTGATCAGATTCTAAACAAACGCGGAATCTCCAGTCCAGCGCACGTTGCCTCAATCTCTTGTATTACCCGTGACCCCCATCGCAGACTGTCGCCAACAAAGCGAGCGACACGCTAGAGGCCGTCGTAGCCATCGCCAAGAAAGCTGCGGCAGGTCCACCCGAGTTGGGTCGCAAACTCGCGTCGTCCGAGCCCGGTGCTGTCGCAGGAGGCGCCAAATGGCTGGACGACGACTTTATCGCACAGCTGCGACAGCTTCAGGCGGAGTTGAACGCACTGGGCGACGGCGTTCACGAGTACGTCGCACGGCGGGAGCTGCGACGCCGTGACGACGATGACGATGACGATGATGACGACGACGAGGACAAGAAGGATAAGAAGGACAAGAAGAGCAAGAAGAGCAAGGACAGCGGCGGCGGCAGCGGAGGCAGCAGCAAGAGCAAGGATAAGAACAGCAAGAGCAAGGATAAGAACAGCAAGAGCAAGGATAAGAATAGCAAGAGCAAGGACAAGAACAGCAAGAGCAAGGACAAGAACAGCAAGAGCAAGAGCAAGAGCAAGGGCAGCGGCGCTTCGGGTCCCATTCGCGCGAGCAAGGGACTGAAGGCCAACGCCGTCGTGAAGGGGAAGATTCAGTCCGCGATTGACGCCGCTCCTGGCGGCAGCCAGTACGTGATCTACATCCCTGCCGGCACGTACAGGGAGCAGGTTGTCATCGACACCCCCGATATTATCCTCATCGGGGCTGGCGCCGGCGCTACCGTGATCACGTACGACGAGAGCTACGGCAGCGGGTCGAGCACGTTCGATTCCGCCACGGTCGGCGTGAACAGCGACCGTTTTGTCGCGTTCGGGATCAAATTCGTCAACACTGCCGGCCCGGAGAACCACCAGGCTGTAGCGTTCCGCGCTACAGGCGACCAGTCGGCGGCGATCGACTGCTCGTTCGAAGGCGCGCAGGATACTCTGTATGTGGACGCGGGGCGGCAGTTCTACCTCAACTGTTACATCGGCGGCACGCAGGATTTCATATTCGGCGACGCGGCCGCCGTCATCCAAAACGCCAAGATCCAGCTGCATCCCAGCAAGTCGTTCATCACGCTCACGGCGTCGGGCCGCGCCAAGGACACGCCGACGGGGATCGTGATTCGCGACTCGGTGGTGAGCGCGGACAAGGGCGCGGCGAAGGCGTACCTGGGGCGGGCCGTGGAAGAAGTGCGCGTTCACGGTCTTCGTGAACGTCGTGCTGCCGGCCGTTATCCAGGCGGACGGGTGGCTGTCCTGGAACGAGGGCAGCTGCATGTTCCTGGCGGAGGCCGGCAGCAAGGGCCCTGGCGCCAAGGCGTCGCGCGCCGACTGGGTGGACCCTGGGATCATCTCCAACGGCGCCTCCTACACCGCCGCTGCTTTTGCCGAAGTCAACTCCTGGCTCATCCTCTCCTGAAACCGCTCCGTACTGCTTCCTACCGCTCGTGACCGTAGCAGACGGGATTCTCTAGGAGGGCGTCAGTCTTGGAATCAGGACAAGTGACTGTAGTGAAGTGCTTGTAGCTTCAGGTGGGTCCTGCTGCTGTGGGCGCTAGAACTTAGTAGGCCAAGAAGGAACATTGTTAGCTAGTAAGGCAGAATGTTAGGAGGAGAATGCTAGGGCAAGGGGCAAGCTAGTAGCCCTGGTAGTGCAATAGGAGTTGCTAGTAGGGCAGGCAGGAAGAGCAGAGTTCTGATTGCGCATGTAGGTAACTCAAGGGCCTTGCTGTGTAACTATTTCTCATGAACAATAAGAACATATAATTACTCACTGCATTTTCTCCTTGCGATTCTGCTGCCTCACATGCTCATCCCTTCCCATTCAACAGCCTCCTTTCTCTCTCTTTCCCAACCTTCTCCTTTCTCTCTGTTTCCCAACCCACTCTTTTCTCTCTGTTTCCCAACCCACTACTTTCTCTCTGTTTCCCAACCCACTCCTTTCTCTCTGTTTCCCTACCCACTCTTTTCTCTCTGTTTCCCAACCCACTACTTTCTCTCTGTTTCCCAACCCACTCCTTTCTCTCTGTTTCCCAACCCACTCTTTTCTCTCTGTTTCCCACCCCACTCGTTTCTCTTTGTTTCCCACCCTGTTCCTTTATCTCTGTTTTACACCCCAATCCTTTCTCAATGATCCTCAACCCAGTCCTCTCTTTCTGTTTCCCACCCCCTCTCTGTTTCCCACCCCCTCTCTGTTTCCCAAAACCAGCCTTTTCTCTGATTCCCATCCCAGCCATTTCTCTCTGATTCCCATCCCAGCCATTTCTCTCTGATTCCCATCCCAGCCATTTCTCTCTGATTCCCATCCCAGCCATTTCTCTCTGCTTCCCATCCCAGCCATTTCTCTCTGATTCCCATCCCAGGCATTTCTCTCTGATTCCCATCCCAGCCATTTCTCTCTGATTCCCATCCCAGCCATTTCTCTCTGATTCCCATCCCAGCCATTTCTCTCTGATTCCCATCCCAGCCATTTCTCTCTGATTCCCATCCCAGCCATTTCTCTCTACTTCCCATCCCAGCCATTTCTCTCTGCTTCCCATCCCACCCATTTCTCTCTGCTTCCCATCCCAGCCATTTCTCTCTGCTTCCCATCCCAGCCATTTCTCTCTGCTTCCCATCCCAGCCATTTCTCTCTGCTTCCCATCCCAGCCATTTCTCTCTACTTCCCATCCCAGCCATTTCTCTCTGATTTCCATCCCAGCCATTTCTCACTGCTTCCCATCCCAGCCATTTCTCTCTGCTTCCCACCCCATCCATTTCTCTCTGATTCCCATCCCAGCCATTTCTCTCTGCTTCCCATCCCAGCCATTTCTCTCTGATTCCCATCCCAGCCATTTCTCTCTGCTTCCCATCCCAGCCATTTCTCTCTGCTTCCCATCCCAGCCATTTCTCTCTACTTCCCATCCCAGGCATTTCTCTGTGATTCCCATCCCAGCCATTTCTCTCTGATTCCCATCCCAGGCATTTCTCTCTGATTCCCATCCCAGCCATTTCTCTCTGATTCCCATCCCAGCCATTTCTCTCTGATTCCCATCCCAGCCATTTCTCTCTGATTCCCATCCCAGCCATTTCTCTCTGATTCCCATCCCAGCCATTTCTCTCTACTTCCCATCCCAGCCATTTCTCTCTGCTTCCCATCCCACCCATTTCTCTCTGCTTCCCATCCCAGCCATTTCTCTCTGCTTCCCATCCCAGCCATTTCTCTCTGCTTCCCATCCTAGCCATTTCTCTCTGATTCCCATCCCAACCATTTCTCTCTGATTCCCATCCCAGCCATTTCTCTCTGATTCCCATCCCAGCCATTTCTCTCTGATTCCCATCCCAGCCATTTCTCTCTGATTCCCATCCCAGCCATTTCTCTCTGCTTTCCATCCCAGCCATTTCTCTCTGATTCCCATCCCACGCATTTCTCTCTGATTCCCATCCCAGCCGTTTCTCTCTGATTCCCGTTCCAGCCATTTCTCTCTGATTCCCATCCCAGCCATTTCTCTCTGCTTCCCATCCCAGCCATTTCTCTCTGCTTCCCATCCCAGCCATTTCTCTCTGCTTCCAATCCCAGCCATTTCTCATTGCTTCCCATCCCAGCCATTTCTCTCTGATTCCCATCCCAGCCATTTCTCTCTGATTTCCATCCCAGCCATTTCTCACTGCTTCCCATCCCAGCCATTTCTCTCTGCTTCCCACCCCATCCATTTCTCTCTGATTCCCATCCCAGCCATTTCTCTCTGCTTTCCATCCCAGCCATTTCTCTCTGATTCCCATCCCAGCCATTTCTCTCTACTTCCCATCCCAGCCATTTCTCTCTGCTTCCCATCCCAGCCATTTCTCTCTACTTCCCATCCCAGGCATTTCTCTGTGATTCCCATCCCAGCCATTTCTCTCTGATTCCCATCCCAGCCATTTCTCTCTGCTTCCCATCCCAGCTATTTCTCTCTGCTTCCCATCCCAGCCATTTCTCTCTGATTCCCATCCCAGCCATTTCTCTCTGATTCCCATCCCAGCCATTTCTCTCTGCTTCCCATCCCACCCATTTCTCTCTGCTTCCCATCCCAGCCATTTCTCTCTGATTCCCATCCCAACCATTTCTCTCTGATTTCCATCCCAGCCATTTCTCACTGCTTCCCATCCCAGCCATTTCTCTCTGCTTCCCACCCCATCCATTTCTCTCTGATTCCCATCCCAGCCATTTCTCTCTGCTTCCCATCCCAGCCATTTCTCTCTGATTCCCATCCCAGCCATTTCTCTCTACTTCCCATCCCAGCCATTTCTCTCTGCTTCCCATCCCAGCCATTTCTCTCTGACTTCCCATCCCAGCCATTTCTCTCTGATTCCCATCCCAGCCATTTCTCTCTGATTCCCATCCCAGCCATTTCTCTCTGCTTCCCATCCCAGCCATTTCTCTCTGCTTCCCATCCCAGCCATTTCTCTCTGATTCCCATCCCAGCCATTTCTCTCTGCTTCCCATCCCAGCCATTTCTCTCTGCTTCCCATCCCAGCCATTTCTCTCTGACTTCCCATCCCAGCCATTTCTCTCTGCTTCCCATCCCAGCCATTTCTCTCTGCTTCCCATCCCAGCCATTTCTCTCTGCTTCCCATCCCAGCCATTTCTCTCTGCTTCCCATCCCAGCCATTTCTCTCTGCTTCCCATCCCAGCCATTTCTCTCTGCTTCCCATCCCAGCCATTTCTCTCTGCTTCCCATCCCAGCCATTTCTCTCTGATTCCCATCCCAGCCATTTCTCTCTGCTTCCCATCCCAGCCATTTCTCTCTGCTTCCCATCCCACCCATTTCTCTCTGCTTCCCATCCCAGCCATTTCTCTCTGCTTCCCATCCCAGCCATTTCTCTCTGCTTCCCATCCCAGCCATTTCTCTCTGCTTCCCATCCCTAGCCATTTCTCTCTGCTTCCCATCCCAGCCATTTCTCTCTGATTCCCATCCCAGCCATTTCTCTCTGCTTCCCATCCCAGCCATTTCTCTCTGCTTCCCATCCCAGCCATTTCTCTCTGCTTCCCATCCCAGCCATTTCTCTCTGCTTCCCATCCCAGCCATTTCTCTCTGCTTCCCATCCCAGCCATTTCTCTCTGCTTCCCATCCCAGCCATTTCTCTCTGCTTCCCATCCTAGCCATTTCTCTCTGATTCCCATCCCAAGCCATTTCTCTCTGATTCCCATCCCAGCCATTTCTCTCTGATTCCCATCCCAGCCATTTCTCTCTGATTCCCATCCCAGCCATTTCTCTCTGATTCCCATCCCAGCCATTTCTCTCTGCTTCCCATCCCAGCCATTTCTCTCTGCTTCCCATCCCAGCCATTTCTCTCTGCTTCCCATCCCAGCCATTTCTCTCTGATTCCCATCCCAGCCATTTCTCTCTGATTTCCATCCCAGCCATTTCTCACTGCTTCCCATCCCAGCCATTTCTCTCTGCTTCCCACCCCATCCATTTCTCTCTGATTCCCATCCCAGCCATTTCTCTCTGCTTCCCATCCCAGCCATTTCTCTCTGATTCCCATCCCAGCCATTTCTCTCTACTTCCCATCCCAGCCATTTCTCTCTGATTCCCATCCCAGCCATTTCTCTCTGATTCCCATCCCAGCCATTTCTCTCTGATTCCCATCCCAGCCATTTCTCTCTGCTTCCCATCCCAGCCATTTCTCTCTGCTTCCCATCCCACCCATTTCTCTCTGCTTCCCATCCCAGCCATTTCTCTCTGCTTCCCATCCCAGCCATTTCTCTCTGCTTCCCATCCTAGCCATTTCTCTCTGCTTCCCATCCCAGCCATTTCTCTCTGATTCCCATCCCAGCCATTTCTCTCTGATTCCCATCCCAGCCATTTCTCTCTGCTTCCCATCCCACCCATTTCTCTCTGCTTCCCATCCCACCCATTTCTCTCTGATTCCCATCCCAGCCATTTCTCTCTGCTTCCCATCCCAGCCATTTCTCTCTGCTTCCCATCCCACGCATTTCTCTCTGATTCCCATCCCAGCCGTTTCTCTCTGATTCCCATCCCAGCCATTTCTCTCTGATTCCCATCCCAGCCATTTCTCTCTGCTTCCCATCCCAGCCATTTCTCTCTGCTTCCCATCCCAGCCATTTCACTCTACTTCCCATCCCAGGCATTTCTCTCTAATTCCCATCCCAGCCATTTATATCTGATTCCCATCCCAGCCATTTCTCTCTGATTCCCATCCCAGCCATTTCTCTCTGATTCCCATCCCAGCCATTTCTCTCTGATTCCCATCCCAGCCATTTCTCTCTGATTCCCATCCCAGCCATTTCTCTCTGATTTCCATCCCAGCCATTTCTCTCTGCTTCCCATCCCAGCCATTTCTCTCTACTTCCCATCCCAGGCATTTCTCTCTAATTCCCATCCCAGCCATTTCTCTCTGATTCCCATCCCAGCCATTTCTCTCTGATTCCCATCCCAGCCATTTCTCTCTGATTCCCATCCCAGCCATTTCTATCTGATTCCCATCCCAGCCATTCTCTCTGATTTCCATCCCAGCCATTTCTCACTGCTTGTTATCCCAGCCATTTCTCTCTGCTTCCCACCCCATCCATTTCTCTCTGATTCCCATCCCAGCCATTTCTCTCTGCTTCCCATCCCAGCCATTTCTCTCTGCTTCCCATCCCAGCCATTTCTCTCTACTTCCCACCCCAGCCATTTCTCTCTGCTTCCCATCCCAGCCCTTTCTCTCTGCTTCCCTTCCCAGGCATTTCTATCTGATTCCCATCCCAGCCATTTCTCTCTGATTCCCATCCCAGCCATTTCTCTCTGATTCCCATCCCAGCCATTTCTCTCTGATTCCCATCCCAGCCATTTCTCTCTGCTTCCCATCCCAGCATTTCTCTCTGCTTCCCATCCCAGCCATTTCTCTCTGGTTCCCATCCCAGCCATTTCTCTCTGATTTCCATCCCAGCCATTTCTCATTGCTTCCCATCCCAGCCATTTCTCTCTGCTTCCCACCCCATCCATTTCTCTCTGATTCCCATCCCAGACATTTCTCTCTGCTTCCCATCCCAGCCATTTCTCTCTGATTCCCATCCCAGCCATTTCTCTCTGATTCCCATCCCAGCCATTTCTCTCTGATTCCCATCCCAGCCATTTCTCTCTGATTCCCATCCCAGCCATTTCTCTCTGATTCCCATCCCAGCCATTGCTCTCTGATTTCCATCCCAGCCATTTCTCTCTGCTTCCCATCCCAGCCATTTCTCTCTACTTCCCATCCCAGGCATTTCTCTCTAATTCCCATCCCAGCCATTTCTCTCTGATTCCCATCCCAGCCATTTCTCTCTGATTCCCATCCCAGCCATTTCTCTCTGATTCCCATCCCAGCCATTTCTATCTGATTCCCATCCCAGCCATTCTCTCTGATTTCCATCCCAGCCAGTTCTCACTGCTTGTTATCCCAGCCAGTTCTCACTGCTTGTTATCCCAGCCATTTCTCTCTGCTTCCCACCCCATCCATTTCTCTCTGATTCCCATCCCAGCCATTTCTCTCTGCTTCCCATCCCAGCCATTTCTCTCTGCTTCCCATCCCAGCCATTTCTCTCTACTTCCCACCCCAGCCATTTCTCTCTGCTTCCCATCCCAGCCCTTTCTCTCTGCTTCCCTTCCCAGGCATTTCTATCTGATTCCCATCCCAGCCATTTCTCTCTGATTCCCATCCCAGCCATTTCTCTCTGATTCCCATCCCAGCCATTTCTCTCTGATTCCCATCCCAGCCATTTCTCTCTGCTTCCCATCCCAGCATTTCTCTCTGCTTCCCATCCCAGCCATTTCTCTCTGGTTCCCATCCCAGCCATTTCTCTCTGATTTCCATCCCAGCCATTTCTCATTGCTTCCCATCCCAGCCATTTCTCTCTGCTTCCCACCCCATCCATTTCTCTCTGATTCCCATCCCAGACATTTCTCTCTGCTTCCCATCCCAGCCGATTTCTCTCTGATTCCCATCCCAGCCATTTCTCTCTGATTCCCATCCCAGGCATTACTCTCTAATTCCCATCCCAGCCATTTCTCTCTGATTCCCATCCCAGCCATTTCTCTCTGATTCCCATCCCAGCCATTTCTCTCTGATTCCCATCCCAGCCATTTCTCTCTGATTCCCATCCCAGCCATTTCTCTCTGATTCCCATCCCAGCCATTTCTCTCTGATTTCCATCCCAGCCATTTCTCTCTGCTTCCCATCCCAGCCATTTCTCTCTGATTCCCATCCCAGCCATTTCTCTCTGCTTCCCATCCCAGCCATTTCTCTCTGATTCCCATCCCAGCCATTTCTATCTGATTCCCATCCCAGCCATTTCTCTCTGATTTCCATCCCAGCCATTTCTCACTGCTTGTTATCCCAGCCATTTCTCTCTGCTTCCCACCCCATCCATTTCTCTCTGATTCCCATCCCAGCCATTTCTCTCTGCTTCCCATCCCAGCCATTTCTCTCTGCTTCCCATCCCAGCCATTTCTCTCTACTTCCCACCCCAGCCATTTCTCTTTGCTTCCCATCCCAGCCATTTCTCTCTGCTTCCCTTCCCAGGCATTTCTATCTGATTCCCATCCCAGCCATTTCTCTCTGATTCCCATCCCAGCCATTTCTCTCTGATTCCCATCCCAGCCATTTCTCTCTGATTCCCATCCCAGCCATTTCTCTCTGATTCCCATCCCAGCCATTTCTATCTGATTCCCATCCCAGCCATTTCTCTCTGATTTCCATCCCAGCCATTTCTCACTGCTTGTTATCCCAGCCATTTCTCTCTGCTTCCCACCCCATCCATTTCTCTCTGATTCCCATCCCAGCCATTTCTCTCTGCTTCCCATCCCAGCCATTTCTCTCTGCTTCCCATCCCAGCCATTTCTCTCTACTTCCCACCCCAGCCATTTCTCTTTGCTTCCCATCCCAGCCATTTCTCTCTGATTCCCATCCCAGCCATTTCTATCTGATTCCCATCCCAGCCATTTCTCTCTGATTCCCATCCCAGCCATTTCTCTCTGATTCCCATCCCAGCCATTTCTCTCTGATTCCCATCCCAGCCATTTCTCTCTGCTTCCCATCCCAGCATTTCTCTCTGCTTCCCATCCCAGCCATTTCTCTCTGGTTCCCATCCCAGCCATTTCTCTCTGATTTCCATCCCAGCCGTTTCTCATTGCTTCCCATCCCAGCCATTTCTCTCTGCTTCCCACCCCATCCATTTCTCTCTGATTCCCATCCCAGACATTTCTCTCTGCTTCCCATCCCAGCCATTTCTCTCTGATTCCCATCCCAGCCATTTCTCTCTGATTCCCATCCCAGCCATTTCTCTGTGCTTCCCATCCCAGCCATTTCTCTCTGCCTCCCATCCCAGCCATTTCTCTCTGCTTCCCACCCCAGCCATTTCTCTCTGCTTCCCATCCCAGCCATTTCTCTCTGCTTCCCATCCCAGCCATTTCTCTCTGACTCCCATCCCAACCATTTCTCTCTGATTCCCATCCCAGCCATTTCTCTCGTGATTCCCATCCCAGCCATTTCTCTCTGATTCCCATCCCAGCCATTTCTCTCTGCTTCCCATCCCAGCCATTTCTCTCTGATTCCCATCCCATCCATTTCTCTCTGATTCCCATCCCAGCCATTTCTCTCTGATTTCCATCCCAGCCATTTCTCACTGCTTCCTATCCCAGCCATTTCTCTCTGCTTCCCACCCCATCCATTTCTCTCTGATTCCCATCCCAGCCATTTCTCTCTGATTCTCATCCCAGCCATTTCTCTCTGATTCCCAGCCCAGCCATTTCTCTCTGATTCCCATCCCAGCCATTTCTCTCTGCTTCCCATCCCAGCATTTCTCTCTGCTTCCCATCCCAGCCATTTCTCTCTGGTTCCCATCCCAGCCATTTCTCTCTGATTTCCATCCCAGCCATTTCTCATTGCTTCCCATCCCAGCAATTTCTCTCTGCTTCCCACCCCATCCATTTCTCTCTGATTCCCATCCCAGACATTTCTCTCTGCTTCCCATCCCAGCCATTTCTCTCTGCTTCCCATCCCAGCCATTTCTCTCTGCTTCCCATCCCAGCCATTTCTCTCTGCTTCCCATCCCAGCCATTTCTCTCTGATTCCCATCCCAGCCATTTCTCTTTGATTCCCATCCCAGCCATTTCTCTCTGCTTCCCATCCCAGCCATTTCTCTCTGCTTCCCATCCCAGCCATTTCTCTCTGCTTCCCACCCCAGCCATTTCTCTCTGTTTCCCATCCCAGCCATTTCTCTCTGCTTCCCATCCCAGCCATTTGTCTCTGATTCTCATCCCAGCCATTTCTCTCTGATTCCCATCCCAGCCATTTCTCTCTGATTCCCATCCCAGCCATTTCTCTCTGCTTCCCATCCCAGCCATTTCTCTCTGCTTCCCATCCGAAACATTTCTCTCTGATTCCCATCCCAGCCATTTCTCTCTGATTCCCATCCCAGCCGTTTCTCTCTGATTCCCATCCCAACCTATTTCTCTCTGATTCCCATCCCAGCCATTTCTCTCTGCTTCCCATCCCAGCCATTTCTCTCTGATTCCCATCCCAGCCATTTCTCTCTGATTCCCATCCCAGCCATTTCTCTCTGATTCCCATCCCAGCCATTTCTCTCTGATTTCCATCTCAGCCATTTCTCACTGCTTCCCATCCCAGCCATTTCTCTCTGCTTCCCACCCCATCCATTTCTCTCTGATTCCCATCCCAGCCATTTCTCTCTGCTTCCCATCCCAGCCATTTCTCTCTGCTTCCCATCCCAGCCATTTATCTCTGCTTCCCACCCCAGCCATTTCTCTCTGCTTCCCATCCCAGCCATTTCTCTCTGCTTCCCTTCCCAGGCATTTCTATCTGATTCCCATCCCAGCCATTTCTCTATGATTCCCATCCCAGCCATTTCTCTCTGATTCCCATCTCAGCCATTTCTCTCTGCTTCCCATCCCGGCCATTTCTCTCTGATTCCCATCCCAGCCATTGCTCTCTGATTCCCATCCCAGCCCTTTCTCTCTGATTCCCATCCCAACCATTTCTCTCTGATTTCCATCCCAGCCATTTCTCACTGCTTCCCATCCCAGCCATTTCTCTCTGCTTCCCACCCCATACATTT